GAAATAATCAGATCAAATGTTTGGAAATGCCGAAACCACTTCAAGATATATGCAGTCTATAATCCACCCCAACGTCCCAACTTTGACTTTCTGAACATCTCACACAAAACTTCAAGACACTTTGACTTTCTGAACATCTCACACAAAACCATAGTATTAGGAGACTTCAACGCCCACTCCACCAGATGGGGCTAGTATTAGGAAACTTCAACGTCCATTCCACCAGATGGGGCTACAAGGATACCTATTCTGAACATCTTACACAAAACTATAGTATTAGGAGACTTAATCTATAATCCACCTCAGAATTGTCCCAACTTTGACTTTCTTGTAATCCACCCCAGAATTGTCCCAACTTTGACTTTCTGAACCACACAAAACTATAGTACTAGGAGACTTCAACCCCCACTCCACCTACAAAACTATAGCATTAGGAGACTTCAACGCCCATTCCACCAGATGGGGCTATAATCCATCCCAGAATTGTCCCAACTTTGACTTTCTGAACATCTCACATAAACTGTAGTATTAGGAGACTTCAACGTCCATTCCACCAGATGATGCTATAAGAATACAAACATAGCTGGAGAGGAAATCGAAGACTTGCTAAACAGCAACCCTCTGGTACTATCATGCTAAACAGCAACCCTCTGGAACTTATTTACAGCAATAAGGATCCGGCGAACAGGGATCCCGCTACATATTTGCACTACAATGGAACCAGAACAGGTAAACAGCAACATTCTGGAACTTATTTATACGAAACAGTATTAGGACTATTCTGAACATCTTACACAAAACTATAGTATTAGGAGACTTCTCTGAACATCTCACACAAAACTGTAGTATTAGAAGACTTCCAACGCCCACTCCACCAGATGGGGCTACAAGGATAAAGCAACATTCTGGAACTTATTTATAGCAATGAGGATCCGGCTACATGTATCTTTAACTTATTTACAGCAATGAGGATCCGGCTACATATTTACATCTTATTTACAGCAATGAGGATCCGGCTACATATCTGCACTGCAATGGATCCAGAACAACTCCTGATTTACTCTTGATAATTGATCCTGGTTCTGGTCACAAACCAGTCATTGCTAGCTACCATCGGCAGCAAAAGCATGACAAGGAAAGTGCCAACGCAGTGCAAAAGCATGAGATGGAGAGTGCCAACTAAGCTATCATGGAACTTCAAGAAGCAAAAGGCCGACAATGAAAGTGCCAACTAAGCTATCATGGAACTTCAAGAAACAACGAATGTGCCAACTAGGCTATCATGGAACTTCAAGAAGGCTGAAACTGGCCAAGATTCACAAACCTTTTAGACAATGAACTTCGCACAAGTCCCCTCAAATTCAACCGACATCCTGACAAACTTTGCAGTGATATCAAGAATATTATGATCAGATGTGCAAAGAAAACTATTCACAGAGGCAAGACTAAACACTTTCGAGTGTTTTTGTCTAAACACCTTGAGGAACTGAAAAGAAAGCGGGACACCCTTCGCAACACTGCTGATCAGACTAGAAGAACGGAAGACGTAAAAGCCTGGAGACGACAATCAGCTGTCCTAAGGCAAGCCATCTTACAAACTAAACGGACTTCCTTCGACAAGTTCATCTCAATTATCAACTATCAAAGTGATAGCCAACGCACTTTCAAATTCCTGGGTAACCTCCAAAACAAGAAAGAACCAATACGTTTAAAAAACAAACTGCTTACCACCGACTCCCAAATAGCGAGGTTCTATTTCCACAAGCAAAAGAAAAACCTCTTTGCAGGAAATCTTTAATACATTTAAAGATACAAGTAAGACAGTTTGGTGAAATTAAGGAAGACACGACAACACCAAATAATGTACTTACTGAACCATTCAGACCTTGCGACACCAAATAATGTACTTACTGAACCATTCAGACCTTGGAACTTAATGCTGATGTACTTACTGAACCATTCAGACCTTGCAAAATTAATGCTGTGATAAAACATCTAAAGTGTAAGAAGTCTGCTGGCGAAGACGGTATTCATCCGGAATTTCTAATTAGAATACGACCGAAAGCCAAGAAAACATTGCTGACGCTTTTCAACAAAATCTGGGAGACCAGTCTCGTACCTAACCAATGGAAAGTTGCTATTGTAATACCAGTACTAAAAAGGGCAAAGACCCTAGCAACTTTGACAACTATAGACCTATCTCCCTCACAAGCGTGCTGGCTAAACTTATGGAAAGAATGGTTAACAGGAGGCTGACCTGGTTCCTTGAGACCAACAATATTCTTAGGAGTGAACAAGCAGGTTTTCGGCCACAAAGATCAACTAACCAGCAAGTAGCCACTTTCTCCCAACACATCAAATATGCCCTTGATGGAAGAAGTACTCTTACGGCTGTTTTCGTCGAATTCAAATCAGCATATGACTTAGAATGGATAGAGAAGCTAATTCTAAAAATTGCAAAGATTGGTATTAAGCATAACATGCTAAATTGAATAAAAACATTCATTGGACAAAGATCATGTAATGTCAGATATGGAAATGCTCTATCAAAATCCAATCTTTTACAAACTGGTCTTCCACAGGGAGCCGTCACAAGCTGCACTCTTTTCAATGTCTTCATCAATGACATAGCCGAATTGGTACAGACATTCACGGGCATCAAGTGCTTACTTTATGCAGATGATCTTGTTCTATGGTATTCCGGCCCTAAGAAAAAGGCTCAGGAGAGGACGGAAAGTGCTCTTAATAGCGCACTTTAACTACTAGCAAACTGGTGCGACAACAATGGAA